AGTCAGCAGGGGAAGATCTAGACTTCAAGTCACCCTCTACCCGCTGTACATTGGGCTCTTGAACTTCAGCCCATGCCGGAATCTCTAAGGGGGAATTTCTTGGCTTCTGTTCTGCTGACGCTGGGAAGTGCTCCCTTTGGGGTGGGGATTGGAAACGGTGTGGGATCATGGAAAACCCTAGACATAGTGCTTTTTGGTCTGAGGCGTCTCCCTTTGAGCCTCTGAAGGTCCACAGACATTTGTCCTCTTAGCCCTCCCTCTTCTGTCCTCCTGGACACAGAATCTGGGCTTTGGCTGGGGAGCTGGGAGGAAGGATAGGACGTTGATTAGCAGGGACCCCACACACACAGCCTGGCCTTTTCGGTATTCCATACGGAGGACAGTGGCGAGGTTTGAGAGAAAGGCGACGGCTAAAGAATGTTTCTGGAATTGAACAGAACAGCGCTGTCTCGGTTAATTCCGCAGGAAGCAAGCCACGTGAAAAATGGGTTAGATTGACTGAGTCCCTGACGGGGTTGGAAGTTTAACTTATTTGGTACCTTTAGCCCCAGCTGGACTTTCTGCTGGCTGTGGATATACACAAAGATACTTAATAAACCCTAAGAGGGAAGAGCTTTCATAGCAGGTGTGTTCTGTTTTTTTAACTTGCAATTATATGACACACTGTAATTGCTCCCATTAATTGAGCACCTATCCACTACCCACCCGGAGCTCAGGTCAGCACTGAACACACACCTTCCTTTTTATTTTTCTCCCCAAAAATAACCCTTTGCAGTGGTTGCAAATGTTATTCACATTGTACAAACAAGGAGATCGAGGATTACACGTTACTTACCCAGAAAGGGGCATGGAATCACATCCAGGCCTGTCCAGCTCCCGATGAACCTCATGGACTCAAAGGGCACAGATGCACCTGGGGGACCCCAAACCTGCATAGGTGCAGCCCATAGATGGACAGAGATCTGCAGATCCCCAGATCTGTGCTGACGGGGGCAGCTCTCTAGGGTCTGAGAAATGTCCCCCGCTCCCTGGTTTCAGTGCCAACAGAGCACATAAATACACACGGTATCTAATCGATTTTTTTTCTCACCTCTGAACCCCAAGCACAGAACCCTGAGTCAGAACAGTCTCCCCTGCTGCGGTTGCAGGAACTTGGCGAGGGGCCCGGGGGACCCTGGATGTTTGTCCCTGCCTCAGGGACTTCACAGTGGCTCTCCCTCCCCCTGTCTCTGGATGGTGGGATTCCAAGCTGCGGGCCCTCTTTGTATTCTGTGAACTTTCAGTTTGAACATAAAGGCACCCCCACCCTGCACCCCGCCAGGGAATCTACCAGCACAAGGGCCAGGGCGGGCGGTAGGGAGAGAAGGGGCATTTCCAAGGGAACCCACAGGGACGCAGTTGCTGCCTTCCAGGTGCCCGCATGGGGCTGAGCATCCCCTCTCAGCTCTGGCCGGAGACCCCGGCTCCCTGCAGCGCTGACCGGCAAGTGACAAAGGCCAGATCACGGATGAGATGGAGACAGGGGCGGGCGCTCCCCGTCCACCCCTCCAGATCCAGGGTGGCCTGTCGCCTGCTTCACTGTACTGGGCCTCTGTCTTGGTCTCCCTGTCCACCCGCCCTCTCTCCAGGTGTCCTCTTGTATCTCATTTATTTTCCTCCCGTCCCCACCCCCACCCAGTGATGAGCCCCTTCTCAGTGGCCAGAGGTTCCCGGGGGAGCTGCCTGGCTGGGTCTGGCCGGGGCAGGGGTGTGACAGGAATCCTGCTGGATGGGAAGAGGAGCCACTGAGGACAGGGTGTCTGAGGGCCAGAGCCCCTGGGTGGTCGTGATCTGTGTTGACAGGGAAATGGGACCGTGGCTATCCTAACTGCAGACTCCCTGCTGGCCTCTCCCTGGGCACACCCGCAAGGCAGGGAGAGAGGGACCGAGGGGTGAGCGGGTGAGTGGAAGGAGGGGTGGAAATGAAGGCCCAGAGAGACTGATGATTCACCTAAGGTCACACAGCAAGTCCACAGAGGAGGAATCAGCCCCAGACGCCCGTCTCTAGTCAGCTCTCCTAACACCAAACATCTCAGAATGAAAATGGGTGATTTCCTTAGAGTCTCTGAACTAAGGGTGGTAGCGCTGGTGGCTGTTCCCGCTGTGTGACAAACACTGGGCCACAGGCTTTGGCTCCTCCACTCCAGGGGTTCTCTCTCTAACTCTATGCAAAAAGTGCTAGGGCATCCCTCATCCCCAAGCCTGGTGTGACCCACTTGTGTCCGTCCCTCTGTATGATAAGGTTATTTTTATCCCTCCTTCTCAGAAGAGAAAAATAAGGCGCAACGAGGCTAAGTAACTTGCCTCGTCCTCCCACAGGGACCAGCGAGGCCTGGAGCCGACCCTCGGTCTCCAATGGACTAATTTTAACCACAGGAGAGCCGGTCTGTCAGGTGGCAGCACCAGAGGGGGACAGAATCGTGACCACCTGTCATCTGCTCCGCAGGGAAGCTGGGATCCTCTCCCGAGGCCGCAGTGGGCAGCAGGAGACCCTCTCTGAAGAAGGAGCCTCGGCCACAGGGCCAGTGGCAGTCCAGAGGACGCAGGTCGAGACTCAGGGGAAACCAAACACACAATTTTGTGGCCCTGGCACTGTCCCTGGAGAGTGTCCCTGTGAACAAGGCCCTCTGTCTTCCTACAGCCGCTTTCCTCATCTGCAAAATGGGTTTGAAAATTGCCCCGGGGAGGATTTTCCCCACCAGCTGCTCTGGCCCCCCACAGAATTCTAGCCGTGTTGTGCTATTTCTTCTTGCAGAAGGAAAAATCATCCTGGTATTCCTCCTGGGTAATCGGCTCACGTTCTCCATGTCGCAACTTCAGACTACCAGGTCTGGGTAGCAGGCAGAGGGACTGAGTAGGTCCCAGCCTGAGCCGTCAGTGGGTTAATAGTTTATGGTGTCACTTTGTCCATAAAGACACCGGCCAGAGGCTCAGTGTCCTTATCAAGGAGTGAACGTAAGATGGACCTCAGACATGGAGGCCTAGGGGTCACAAAGAGGTGTTGTGGTGCCAGCAAGAGCCACCCAATCACAGCACAGAGGCAGCCCCCCAGTTCCCAGGAAGTAGCCTGTTAGGTGACAGGGATGCCCCAGCTCCAGACTCAGATCTGGCCTAAACCTGCCACGTCCGTCACTTTCTGAGTGATGAGTGAGTTGAGTGACCTCAGCAAGGTTGGGCCCCTTCCTCAGGATCCCATGTTTAGATGGAGATGACCACCGCTCACTGTTAGGATCATCATGAAATTAAAATGAGAAGCCTTGTCCTGCACGGTCCAGCGAAGAGTTGGTGCTTATCAGTTTTGGTTCCCGTGCCTCCCGGGGTGGAGGGCCCTCCCCTTGGCTCTTCCTCACTCATTTTCCCTTTTCCTCCATGTTTCTGGCTTCTTTGAGTCCCTGCTCAACAAGTATCCCTGGGCCCACTGCCTGCTGGTACCAGGATGCAGACCCTGAGTTCATAGTGGCCCGCAAGACAGGCAGGGCCGCTCCTTCCAGAGCTGCCAGCCTGACACAGACGAGCCATGGAATGCGCCATCTTGTGCCAGAGGAGATCCCAGCCCTTCTGCACAGCCTTCCTCGACCTCCCTCTTTGTAGATCCCAACTGGCTTTGCTTCCAGGAATGAAAACTCGCTGCAGTCAGGGACTGGGTTTTCTGTCCCCTAGGGGTAGATGCAGGTTTGGGCCTAGGGTGAGTGGCCTGAGAGCTTGTGTGAATGAGCAAGTGGGAGGCACTGGATGTGGAGGGTCTGCTGTAGCCCTGTCTCCCTCCTCCCTCCCAGCCTCTCCCACCCTTCTCTCCAGGGCGCTCCAGGCTCCCCCCCCTCCCGCCCCGCCTGAAACCTTCCCTCCACCCGCTCCTGGACCCTGCTCAGGCTGCCCTGTGTAGGTGGTGAGACAAGGTGGGGTGGGGGAGCACAGGGCATCTCAATTGGGGTGAGAGGCCCCGTAAGCCAGCTGGGGTTGTGTGACTGCAGTGTAAGACACTCAGTGCCTGGAGTGTGTCCCCCACTGGCCCTAGGCCAATACCTCTCCCCAAGTGGCTTCTTATCTCCTGTCCCTCTGTGTGGAGAAAAGACAAGTTGCTTGAGCATCAGAACCGGGCAAGGGCACCGAGGAGGGGGACCCTGGAGCCCCAGTTGAGATGGGGAAAGAGGGTGGCAGGGGAAGGGGCTGGACTGCGGGGACCTGGCCCACCCCAGTGCCCCACTGCAGCCGGCCAGGGGAGATGGTGCTGGATCAGGGCAGGGACTAACCTTGGTTTAGAGACTGGCTGGGCTGCAGAGGGGTGGAGAACCGCCGGGCACTAGGTGCCCAGTTTTGTGGCCCTAGCACTGTCCCTGGAGAGCCACTGAGTCTGACTTCCCCCCTGACAGGGCCTCACTTCCAAACCCCAGGACCCTGGCAGGGGAGAGGGCGGCCAGGGGCGCAGGGGACCCTGGGAGAAGTGGAGTGGGGTCTCTGTGGAAGGCTGCGCCTCGGAGAGCCCTGGCCAGGCTCAGGCTTGGCCTCCACGTCACCGTCTGCAAAATGGTCAGGGCGTCCCCGAGCTCGCCTGGCAGGACAGGGCTGCTTGGGCACCGGCCGGGGACAAGGCTCTGCCCGCGCAGGACCCAGGCAAATTGGCGTTAAACTTTGCGGGGCCGCGGGGCTGGCTGCCACCCCGGGCGCCTTGGCCCGGCGCTCGCTGCCGCGCCCCTCCCGCATCGCCGTCGCACGGCCGCGGCCCCAGCCCCCTCCTCCCGCGCCGCTCGGCGCTCGCTCGCTCGCTCGCCGGCTCCTCCTCACTCGCCCGCCGCCCGCGCCCGGCGCAGCTCGGCCAGAGCCATCGCGGGGCTGCGCGTCCGCCCGGGGGCTCCCGCGGCTGCCCCGGCCCGCGGCCCCTCCCCGGCGCCCGCCGCCGCTGCCCGCTCGCCGCGGGCCCTTCCCGGCGCCCCGCAGCCCGGCTCCGCGCCCCCCGCAGCACGATGCCCGCGGCCCGGCCGCCCGCCGCGGGACTCGGCGCCATCCCGCTGCTCGTCGCCCTGCTCCTCCGGGGGAGCCCCGCGGCCGCACTGGCGGGAGGTAAGCGCCCCGAGGGGTGGGCCGGGAGGGGGCAAAGTTGTCGCGATCGCCGGGCGGCGGGGGGTCGCGGCGATCCCGGGGACTCCTGCCTCGCCCGCCCGGCTCGGCTGGGGAGCGGGGGAGGCTGCCCGGCGCCCGGCGAGGAGCCGCGTCCCTTGGCCCGGGCTGGGAGCGTGGAGGCGGGAGGTGTCTGAAGGACTCGGCGCTCCCCTGCGCCGGCTGCGGTTTCCCTCTTGCGTCTCCCCGGCTGCGGGGCTCACTCCCTGGCAGCCCCAGAGGAGCCCCTTGGAGTGGGGTCGCCTCCGAGACCCAGGTGCCCCGAGCCCTCGGCAACCGCACCCCCGGCTGGGTGCCAGATCATTCCCTCTGGACAGAGGACAGGACGGGGTGCAGCCGACCCGCCCTGCAACTGAGGTCTAGACTTCAACCGTCAGCACGTCTGGGACACCGTCGCCTCCCGTGACTCGGGCTGCCCGGAGGGGCTGCTCCTCGGCAGATCCCAGCCTGGGCAGGAAACAGGACTTGGGTGTGGCTTTTGCCAGAGGTCAGAGAAAGGGGCTCAGGGGCCCCAGAATTTGGCCAAGGAGTGAGAAAGGATGTTAGGTGGCTGGGGGGCGCGGGGACCTGAGGGGACTCCCTCTGTCTCTCCTCTGAAAGCCTCGCATCTCTGATCACTGTTGGGGGGGAGGGGGTTGCTAGTTTCACGCGCCACGTGCTCGCTGGGTGGGAAGAGGGGTCCAAGTTTGGCGGGTTGGCAGCCCCTCGTGCCCAGAACTGGAGCCGGCACCCTCTCTCCACTCTGCCGAGGTCCCCCAGGAAAAGTTGTGGTGTGGGGGTTGGGATGGATTGGGATGGGGAGAAGAATGAGCCGCTTAACTCACCCCAAGTTAACCCCAGGGCTGCGGAGATTTACCGGACACTAAGACACCTGAGTTTGGGGGGAGGTGGGGGCGGCACCGTCCGTCCATTTGGCCTGCCTGCTGGAAGGTCTAACTCCAGTTCCCAGAAACTCAGTCCTCACGTGGGGAGAGAAAAAAAAAAGCTGCAGTGTGGCCCAGGCTGAGACCGCAGGAGAGCACCCGCCCTGCCTAGCTGGAGCCCAGTCTTATTTGCACGGTCTTGACCTGGAGTCAAGGGGACAGGCGGTGCGCGCTCTCCCAAGGAGTTCTGCCCCCCTTCTCCCTTCCACCCTGTGCGCCCACCCGGTTTCAGCACCGAAGGCCTCGGACAGCTCTCAGCTCCCTGGGCCCCAACTCTGGGTTCCTCTCCCTTAAAACTCTTCCTCCTCCTGTGGCCTGGAGTGCCCTCCTCAGCAGAAATCAGGCATTCTATCTCCCAAGGCCTTCTCTTTAAATGTGGAGCCCCCCGTGCAGAGCAAAGGAAATAATTCATTACCTTTTGCTTAACAAAGCATAACATGAGGAAGCCCCCTTTATGAGGCAATGAGATTTTACAGTGTGCACAGAGCCACACAGTCCCCCTGGGAGAGATGGGGGGAAGAGATTGGGTTGAAATAAATCCCATCCACCACAGCAAGCCCTTTCTTAATTAGCTGTCTCCATTCAACAATAGCTTGGTGGCCTTGAACGAGGTCCAGATCGCTGTCCTCCGTGGCCCTTTTGAATCTGTGTGGTGACTAATACACACACACACACACACACACACACACACATACACCAGAGCTACCCAGCAGCTTGATGGGTTTTCTAAAGTGAGTCGACCTCTGGGGTCTATACTCTCCAACACACGACCTCCCAGGAAAACTGTCTGAATGGCACAGATGGGAATTGTTATACAAGACCAGGCTTCTAACATGTGCTGTTTCCTTTAGTGCGTGTGCATGTGTGTGTGTGTGTGTGTGAGTGTGTGTGTGTGTAGGAGTCTGGGTGCCTGTGTGTGCTTTAGATCTTAAGACATTCCACACTCCTGTTTCCGACTGCTCGGCACAATGGCTAGCCAGTATATATATTTCATTAACTTTGGGTCACCACCAAATTAAAGTCAACTGACGGACGACTTCAGAAGGCTCATTAATAACCGTGTGGTTCTGACTCTGAATCTCTGAGTCATGAAGAGGGCCCGAGGGTAGCCAATGAGCATTACCAATCCTGATGGTACATTTGGAGAAAATTGACCTTCTGCCATAAATTCTATTTTTAACCTAGAGCCTAAGGAAGGGCCACTAATGTCAGAGGGGGGACCGTGCCATCATCCAGAGTTGCAGACTGGTCCCTCTGTGTGTGCTGGAGGGAGGGGGATTTGTAAGTACTTGAAAGGAACTTGTTGCTGCATTCTCATGCAGGGCACGTGATTCTCTGGGCCATTTTGCTGTAAGGCATGAATAAGTATAAAGTATAACTTGTTTTTGAAGAGGCTCCTTATTGTCTGAGATTTGCACATGGGGAATAATTGTAACTACGTGCTAAGATTGCAGAGCTCCAGTGTAATTTCTTTTCTTCTTTTTTCCCCTTGAATTAATAAGGCGAATTCAATATTGCTCAATAAGACTCGAATTTGCTGCTTCCCCCGGTCTCTGATGGGCATTGTTGTGAGATTCACTTAAAGACTATTTTCATTATGGTTCATGTTCTTGGCGTGGGGTTTGGGCCCCTCCCCCCGGCCAGGTACCGCCTAAGCCAGGCTCTAGGGATTCTTCTCGTGTTCACGTGGCTCCCTGGGGCATTAGGGAATTAACGTTCCATTCATTTCCTTGTCCTTCCAAGGCAAGAGAATGTTTCCTGATCAGAGTGGCTTGTTTTCTGCTTTTTGCTCACGAGTCTGTTCCTGCAAGCTGTTCCAACGAGCTGGATTTGCAGGCTCTCCTCTTTGGTCCACAATTTCTGCAGTCCGCCCATACCGCCGATCTCCACTAGGGGCTCTCGAAGCTATGGTTAGTGACTGAGAGGAGCAGGGAGGCAAATCCTGACCCGAGCAGCCGCCAGGTGTGGGCAGTGCCCAGAGTCAGCAGAATGCCGCTCTTTCCAGACGCAGGGTGGCCTTGCCGCCTCCCTCTGTCTGCTTACTACACTTGCTTCCTATTTCTCAGGGAGAGAAATCGCTGATGGCTTGACATGTGCCACGAAAAAGAGGAAGGAAAAATAAAAAGCAAGCACCAGAGTGTTCCCAGGAGGGCGTCGGTAGAATGCAGGGCTGCGCCACCCCCTTGACACCAGCTCCTAGTTCCCTTCATGGAGCCGAATTGCCAAACACCAAACAGACCATGGCAAGGCATTCTGGAGAGTTCGAATGAGCTGGGCACAGGAATTTGATTTTTAGGAAAAAAAAATGTGGCTTTGAAATTGGAGCAATCTGGGTCCAGAGCCCAGCTCCGGTGCTTGGGAATGAGTGACCTTCAGAGGGACCATCTTCTGAGCCTCCATCCCGTCATCTGTGGATGGAGGGAGGAGAAGAGGAGCTGAAGGTTCCAGGCCCGGGGATGGTTATACGGATTACATAACTCGTGTGAATGCACCTGATACACCTTAGGTGCATAAGCAATGCTTTCCTGCTTTCCAAAGGGCAAACTGCTCTGATGATGAGGCACCAAGGAAGCACCCCCCTGAGGTTGGTGGGAAGCAGATGTTGGCATAAAGATTGAGATAATGGAGGCCAAAGTAGAAGAAGCAGAAGAAGGGGTAGTGAGTAGCTCCCGTTGCTGCATTTGGCAGGCGAGAAGTTTGCCGTTCCTGGTGCAAACGCCCTTCTGTTCCAAACGCTCAGAGTGTGTTGCTTTGAGCTTCCAGATCATTGTCAGGAAATCAGAGTTCATAGGACCAGAGACGCAGGACGGCAGGTGAATTGTTGGGAAAAGAACATAAGAAGAGAATCTCCCGAGAAAAGCTATTTTTTCACTCACTCATGCACATTTGCTGAGCACTTCCTACACGCCTCAGTCCTCGCAGGCTGCTGTAACAAAAATACCTTCGCCTGGATGGCGTCAACGGCAGCATTTTATTTCTCACATTTCTGGGAGCTGGAAAGTCCAAGATCAAGGTGAGGGCTCCCTTCCTGGTTTGCAGATGTGCACATTCAAGCTGAATGACCAGGAGAGAGAGGAGAGCTCTGATCTCCATTCTTTTTAAAAAAAATTTTTTTAGTTGTAGATGGACACAAAACCTTTATTATTTTTTTATGTGATGCTAAGATTCGAACCCAGGGCCTCACATGTTCCAGGCACGTGCTCTACCGCTGAGCTACAGCCCCAGCCCTAGCTCTGATCTCCTCCCCTCATAAGGGCACTAATCCCACTGTGGACACTGGACCCTGGGGACCTCATCTAAACCTAAATACTTGCAAACATATCATCGTTCCGGGCTTCATCATAGGGAGTTTTGGGGGGGACACAGACGTTCCCTCCATAGCACCATGCATGTAGGAGACCCCATGTCACATTCTGAGGTCCCCCTCCCAGGAAGTGCAGCCCTGAAAGCCGGCCACCAGGGTCCATGCCAAGTGCTTTGGTAGAGGGACACTGGGGAACTACCGCCCCCCACAGTGAGAGTCAACTTCTCACCAGGGTAAGCTGGCCTTGAAAAGATGTGACAGTGACCACCAAGCCAGAGGAGATCTCTACAACAGGGGAGTGAAAAAATCCTGACAAGGCTCCATTCTGGAGCCGGAGAGAGAGACAGAGGGAGTGCGAGGGAAGGGGAGGCGGGTGCACATGCTCACCCTCAAAAAAGACCCTGGAGCCGCCCCTCCTCCCTGCGCCCCCTCCGCCTCCCAGGCTCCCTGCTTGAGAAGGGAACAAAGGACCGCCAGGCTCCGTGCGCTGTGTCCACTAGAGGCTGCCATTGGGTTCTCAAGGAGGGGAGGGCAGCCGCCGAGGAGCCAGCCCTGGGCACGCAGGCTTCCTGGATCTGCCTATTTGCGTGATCCTCTGGTGACTGTAGATCCCCAGGCACAGCCGGCCCTTGTGTGGTGGTGACAATAGGGAGCAGAGCAGGAACCTGAGGGCTTCCAGGGCAGGGAAAGGGTGGTGCATTGGAAGGAGGTCGGTG